GGGAGGGAGGGAGGGAGGAAGGAAGGAAGGAAGGAAGGGAGGAAGGAAGGAAGGAAGGAAGGAAGGAAGTTGCCTTGATCTTCACTTCTCAGAGTTTCATTTTAGAAGTAATCTGGCAAAATTAAATGGGAAATTTATGGTTTCAACAGAGCAATCCTATACCTTTCTACTCGGGAACATGTTCTGTTCAGTTCAATGGGATTTTATACCTGGGTAAGTGTGACCAAGATGGCAGGCTGCCAGAATGACTTGTGTGATCTTCCCTTATTCACAGCCAAATAGTTTTTAAAAGAACCCAGTGTAACTAACCTTTTTTCTTTTTTGATAGATACCAAGGCAGCCATGGGTAATAACAGTGATACAGTGGTGACTGAGTTTATTCTGCTGGGTCTCTCCAACCACCCAGCAGCTCAGATTGTGTTCTTCTGGGTCATCTTGGTCTTTTACATTATCAACCTGATTGGAAATGGCCTTATGGTTGCATTGATTATCATTGACCCCCACCTGCACACCCCCATGTACTTTTTCCTCAGCAACCTGTCCTTCTTGGACATTTGTTATACTAGCAGCAGCATCCCACAGGTCCTGGTTACCTGTGCCACAGAGAGAACTACCATCTCCTTCACTGCCTGCATGGCCCAGATATACATTAGCTTATATTTTGGCACCACAGAATGTATCCTCCTCGCTGTCATGGCATATGACCGCTTTGTGGCCATATGCAGTCCTTTACATTACACAATGATCATGAACTGGAACATTTGTATCCATATGGGACTTGGGACTTGGGGCAGTGGCCTTGTTTTGACTCTCATCCCAACTGCGGTAGGTCCTGTGCGATTTTGTGGCTCTAACATTATTAATCACTTCATATGTGAGGCACAAACTGTTGCCAAGCTGAACTGCGCCAACACCCAGCTCAGTGATATCATTTCGTTTGTCAACACGGTGGCAGTGCTTATTGTCCCTTTCACTTTCATCTTGATGACGTATTTGCGTATTGGTTTGGCTGTGAGGCAGATCCATTCTGCCGAGGGCCGTAGTAAGGCTTTTTCCACTTGCAGTTCTCATGTGGCCGTTGTCAGCATTTTCTACAGCTCTGCCATGTTTATATACCTTCAGCCAAAATCTAAACATGCCTCAGACAGAGACAAAATGATTTCGGTTTTTTACGGAGTGGTGACTCCCACACTCAATCCTCTGATATACAGCCTGAGGAACAAGGATGTTAAAGGGGCCCTCGGGAAACTATTTGGAAGAGGAAGTGGACTTGTCCACAAAAGCTCACATTAAAATATAGCACTTAGTCTTTAAGGGGCCAAATTATTTTCCTCTTTTTGTTTTATTTTGTTCATTTTTTTTGCTTGATACATTTAGAAGAGAGGTAAGAAATTAATATAAGGGTGAAAAAACAAAATAAAAATACACAACGGATAAAAAAGTTCATTTTCTGCCTACTCTCAACCAAGTCCGTAACTGTACTATATGTTATGGATGAGAATATGTAGATTAAATCATGTAATGAAGATGGGATATGTAGTTTTGAACAATGTAAAATGGATTCCCTATTGGTTCTATGTAAGAATGATTTTGTATGATGGGAATGTTATTCCAGAGGGCTGTGGGAATGGTTTTCCTTTAGGCCAGTACAAGCCAATACAAAATAAGAAGACCAGACACTTGCTATGGCAGAGAAAACAATAGATGGAGAAAAATGTTTCTCATGAGAAGAGAAGGAGGGGACTACTTCTACCACAATACGCTGTGATTGGATAACAGCATGGGAGATGAAGAAGACAGGAGGAGCCAAGAAGGTAGAAAAAGGAACTTTCGCCATGTGCAGTGTTCCATCTTGTTCCTATTTTTCCTTTTGATAGAACCATAGATTTTTCTATGTCTTTTTGCCTGCTGCCCCATGCAGGGAAAGGACTGGGGAAAATATAGGGAGTTGAGGAAGAAGAGAATGGAGGGCTTTAAGCCTTTTGCCTACCCTAAGGAAGCTTTTAGAGATTTTTAGAGCTTTTGTAATTAAAAGGTAATTAATTGCCTTAATTGTATTTGTAACAAGCCGTGAAAACACTTTATTGCTATGCTTTTGCATCAAACTGACTTTATTCTGTAAATCTATATTTTTTCAATAAAAAGATCAATTATAAAATCTTTTTGGTCTCTTGAACAGTGAAGCCTGTCTTAGCTATTCCCAGAGGGGGAAGCAAGGCGACATTAAGCTACTAATTGAGCCAGGTAGATCTTAGGACTACAAAGCTCATGTGTAACTTCCTGCTGAACTTTGTTAAGGGTCAGCAAGTATCTTTTTAGGGCAGACTTGTAAGATGGGGTTTGTTGTACACCCTGGCTGAGGTCACCAGGACTCAACCCAGCTGCATAGGGGTGCTCAGACTTCCAATTACTCTCTGTCCGACCAACCAAGTTCTCCCTCACAGGAAGCTGGGTCGTGACACTATAATATCATGGAACAACATGATATAGCTATTTCTCTTCCGTTCCTTTTGTTGACCTATAGGAGACATCTGACTGGAAAGCGGGTATTAACCAGGTAGTTTTGTTTGATTCCAGCATTGTCCCTTCTTGTGTTCATCTTTATTTCTGTGTCCTACTCCTTATCAGTAAATTGTTCCAGACATGTAACTGCCTCATCCTCCTTTTAATTCTTCTCCACTATTGGGTTCGTTATTGCTGCTATTTTGTGGGTATTTTAACTGGTTCGATGTATGTGTAAAGCTTAACTGTGCTGACACTTTATTGACTGGAGAACTAAGTTCCAGTTCCAGAAGGAAGCGTCAGCGGTGTTTCTTCTTTGCTGCCTCCTTGTTTTTGTTTTCATAAATCTAATTTCTTTCCATGGATTTACAGGACAAAGTTTTTCATTTAAGGTCTTTTTGAGAGAAGGAGAGCTGTAGATAAGAGAAGACAGAGACTTCATTCTGTAAACGCCTAGGAACTTTGGTTCCTTATGTTAGTATAATCTTAGCAGTATGACCTTTCAACTGGTAGAACTCCCGTATTGTCTCCAGGACAATCCCACATGGGCACCCTTGTCTCCATATTTCAGACTGCAGGTCTATAGACAGTTTTTTCATGTTTACACTTCTTGTACAGTGCCTGTCTACTTTTTCTTCATATGGTTATTACACAATAAATATTGGGCTCCCCTTGTGCATTTCTCATTTTCTATCCTGATCCCTTCCACTAGTTTTTGAACTTCTGAAAAGTAAATATTGTTTCTATAATGTTGTATACTAAATTAAGAAAGAAATCAAGTTATTAAAAGGAGAGAGGGCTCCATTTTTATGTGGATCATAATAGCTATTTTAAGAATAAGCACTGAGCTAACTCCATGGTTAGTACCAAGTAGAACAAGTGCTACCGTGTTTCCCTGAAAATAAAACAGGGTCTTATATTAATCTTTGCTCCAAAATTGCATCAGGGCTTATTTTCAAGGGATGTTTTATTTATTTTTCATGTACAACAATCTACATTTATTCATATACAGTTATGCCGTCTTCTTCTGGTTGTTGCACAATGATGGAGGGCGGGGTGTCATTTAACTGGGGCTTATTTTGGGGGTAGGGTTTAATCTTACGAGCATCCTGAAAAATCATACTAGGGCTTATTTTCAGGTTAGGTCTTATTTTCGGGGAAACAGGTTGCTGAGATAAAAAAGGCTTGTTAGTCACAACTGATACAAGTTCCATTGGTTTCAATAGACCTCCTCTGCTTGATGGTAACAATGGTTAGTGTCTTATTCACTACATGCAAAGTGGGAGGGAACTCATGTAAGGGTTCACTGTCCCCCCTGTTCCAGCAGATCTTTCACTGGGGGACCTGATCTTGCAGCCAGTGAGAAAACAGGCATGTTGCAAAGAGCCTGCTAGAGCAGGAAGTGGGAGACTTAGGTGATTACCTCCCTCCACGCAATGTTTAGGCAATAGAATACTAGCCAATGGATTTTGCCCGTGGTTTGTATTTCCTCCCCCATCTGTGCCACTGATCACTGCTCCACGCCATGTCAGACTATTGTGTTGGAAGATCTACTGTATGTATGCACATAGAGGAGCTATATCCTGCTTCTTTAGGCTCCAGCCTTTGCAAGCAGCTTACATAAAAGCTATGTTAAAACATTCCCACCAACCTAGCGGTTCAAAAGCATGCAAATGCGAGTAGATAAATAGGGACCACCTTGGTGGGAAGGTAACAGCGTTCCGTGTCTAAGTCACACTGGCCATGTGACCACGGAAGATTGTCTTTGGACAAAACGCTGGCTTGGAAACAGGGATGAGCACCGCCCCCTAGAGTCGAACACGACTGGACAAAAATTGTCAAGGTGAACCTTTACCTTTACCTTTATGTTAAAACATAAGGTCATAAAAATACATTGTAAGCCCCTGGGAAGGAGAGGCAGAATATTTTGGAATATTCTGATGGCTTAGAGGTCATAGAACCATTCCACTAAAATAAAATAAAACAAAACAAAAAAGGAGGAAGAGGAGGAAAAGGGGGTCAGAGACAGGCACAAAGTAGAGTACAGGGAAGAAGAGTGATTACATTGGCATTTTTCTCTCAGTGACGAGCATAGTTTGGGGGCTGTGGGGAGAGGAACCTCTGCAGCTGTAGAGAGGTGTGTTTCCTGGGTCGAGCCTCTTTGTTGCCTTTCTCAGCCTGCCAGGAGTGTGTGAAGGTTGCCCCACCAACATGTGAGGCTTCCTTCCACCCAAAGGTTACCTAAGCAGCTCTCTGGAAGTAAAGGCTGAAGCGGGTGACTGCAAAGTCCACCTCCCTGGAGGTGGAGAAGCACAGCCCCTAGGAGTCCTTTGGTACAAAAGCACAGCCGTAGTGCTGACATCATCAGCTTTATGTCCAACTTTATGCAACTGGATTTTAGCCAAGGACACTCTGCCAATGGGCCTCTGGTGATATTCCCATGAGACAGCTCTCATCTAGAGGCCCACAGCCAGAATAGCCAGTGCTGGCTATTTTGAATGGGGTGGGGATGAGGGGGGGGGGAGTCTAAATCTCTATGAGACTAAATCTCTGCTTCCCACTGACCACATGACATAAAAGCCAATGCACATCAGCTCTGACTCCCCTCTATTCATAGTTTTTCTTCTATCACTGAGGTTTCTACTTTTTCTGAGAGCAGATTCATTCATAAAAATTCAGGTAATATGACCATTTGAATCAATGCAGAAAAGTGTGTGCAGGTTGGTATGATTGCGTGGTATCTGGGGGAGGGAGCAATGTTAAAACACTGGGAAAGGTGGATCTTTGCAAATAATGCAATTTCTTTTCTTTTTTAAAGGCTTGGTGTCAGTACTGTTGCACTAGGGTACCTAGACACAGCCACAGCCACAGCCACACACACACACACACACACACACACACACAAACACACACAGAGAGAGGGGGGGGGCGAAGGTTGATACTTGGCCCTTGTTTACAGATTATTAAGGTACTTTTCCTGTCACCATGACCCCTGTGAATGAGCTGCAAAAAAGCCACATGAGGAGACAGGAGGAGCTGCCAGTTTCCTCCTCTCTCCTCATGTGGCTAGTTAATGTGAAATTATCCTGGAAAACCTGACTTCACAGGTGTGACTTCATGGTGGGCCAATTCACATTTTTCCTCACTGTGGACTCATACCTTCACTCCAGAACCATGAACATAAAGGGGATTAAGTTACTGAGGAGAAATCAGAACAGCAAAGATGCATTTGCTTGGTTGTGTCTTGCTTTCCCTCATGGCATATTAAAGACCAACAAGTTTTATTTGGCTAAGCTTTTATAGACTACAAACCACTTCAGCAGATGCATGATGCGGGCTGCGGTGCAGAAAAGCTTGTTCTCATTGAAAGATATTAGTTGTTACAGGACACAAGACCGCTTATTGATTTTGCCACTACAGAGTATTTGAGCTACTCCTCTCCCAAATCTTCTGATTCCTGCTCCCTATAGCTTGTGCACTTGTTTTTAAAATAACATACCTAAACAAATAAACAAACAAATCATTCTACTGCCCAGTTAGATGGAGGCACCTTTTCAGTTCTCAAACTTTTAAAACTGATTGATGTAATCGATTAGTTGAGCAAAGGTTGGTTGCTTCCTTGTTTCCATTTTATTCCTAACATAAGCAAGCCACAGTCAACAAGTCACTAAGAGTTATCCAACCCCAATCAAAAGTCCATGTGGAAAGAGACCTTTTTCTCCATGACTCTCCTCAGGGCTCCCTTGACCTCCTTGTTCCTGAGGCTGTAGATCATTGGGTATAGCATGGGAGTGACATTGGTATAGATCAAGGAGACCACTTTGTCCTGCTCCAAAGAGTAGCTGGCCTTTGGCCGGATGTAGATGAAAATAGCACAGCCATAGTGGAGGATGGCCACAATCAGGTGGGCAACACATGTGGAGACGGCCTTTTGCCTGCCATGGGCACATTTGATTCTCAGGATGGAGTTGGCAATGAACACATAAGAAGTCAGGATCAGCAGGAAGGGGACCAGAAGTGCCAACAAACAGGCAACAAAGACCAACACCTCGTCAGTGTGTGTGTTGCTACAGGCTAGGAACAACACAGGCGGGATGTCACAGAAGAAGTGGTTGATTTCATGTGAACCACAGAAGGGTTGCCCGAATATCAGTGCTGTGAGGCCCAGTGAGAGAATGAAGCCAGTGGCAGACACGCTGGCCAGTAGTTGGAAACATAGCGCCCGACTCATGATAAGGGTGTAGCGCAGTGGGTTGCATATAGCCACATATCTGTCATAGGCCATCACAGCCAGCAAGAAACACTCTGTGGTGCCCAAAGCAATGAAGAAATACATCTGTGCTGCGCATTCAGGCAATGAAACTTTCCGGCTCTTAGCCAAGAAGTTAGCCAACATCTTAGGCACAATGACCAGGGTGTAGCAGACCTCGATGCAAGAGAGGTTGCGCAGAAAGAAGTACATGGGCGTGTGGAGGGTGGGGTCAACCAGAGTCACCACCACAATGGCCAAGTGTCCCAGCAAAGTGATCACATGCATAGCCAAAAATATCCAAAAGAGATAGAGCTCATACTCTGGCAGGTTAGAAAAGCCAAGAACGATGAAATCGCCTGCGGTGCTGCTGTGATTCCAGCCACTCAACTCCATCGGAATCTGCTGAAAGGATCACAGCAAGGGTAAATAAATGAGATCCTAAAGCCGACCTTGGTTTCACCTACATTATTGCATATAGGTATCATCATCATATCAGGGCACAGTATCAAAATGTTGCAAGTATCTAGTACTCAAGGACAGAAGTGAAATGTTATCTGTCAAGTTTTTCCTGATGAGATGACTATTCTTTATTATGTGGTCACAGACCCAAGTTAAAACAATACAACAATAAGAACAAAATAAAGATAATTATCCAAACGTTCCCATATTCAGAAAAAGTGGACATTTGGATTAAAAGGCCTTTTTATGAGATATTACAACAGAAGACAGGAATTTAGCTGCAGGCTCTGTAAGTGTTTCGTTTATTAAATGCTAGGAGCCAACTCACTGGGCGTTTGGTGATCAGGGACTGGTTTGGCAACAGAAATGATTTTTGCCCATTCCTTTAACTGGTAGAAATAGAATCACTTGGGAGAGCAAAAAATAATAATAAAATTGGACACAAAGTTTGGCTGCCTGCTGCCATTACAAGTAGCCAGAGGTACTTTATTTAGGGGGGCAAAAATAGCAAGAAAGCCTTGCAGGACAGCCAGAACTTTAATACGGGAAACCATAAATGTTCACAGTATATTTGAACCCCAGGGGGTTTTGTTTTTCCAAAAACAAGAGTAAGCAGATTACACTCCAATTGTAACTTAGCAAAGGAGAATATTTCTTCACTCTTTTAAATTACCTTCTTCCTAACACAAATGTGACCTCACTAAATGGTGAAAGAGGACTACAATATAGCTCAATTGTTACCTCATGTTTCTTCAGTGTGCTCTGCTGCAAGTATTTAGGCCATGACAGATAGCTGAGATGAAGGTGTATTCCGAAACAAGCTGAGCATCTCGCAGTATTTTAAACATTAGCTAAAAGTAACTATTCTAGTTATTTTAAGTAATTAAAAGTAACCAATTAGTTACATCTGATGAGTGGAAAATTTTAAAAATACTTTAAAAAATATAACATAGTGAGTATTTGGAGATCACAGAACTGTAACTGTTATAATTTAGCTTATTACTTTTTAAAAACAAAATTTCAAAGCTCTGTATTATACTAGTTTTTAGCAACCAGAGATAGACAAAAATGGTTTTCCTGATCACTGAAGAGTAGAGGATAGGTCTTCAAAAGATTAGGGCAAAAGCTGCAAATATTGCACTAGACCAAGTATGACCCCAAAATATTTTATAAACACAGTAATAAATTCACATAAGTACAGATTTACTAAAGAATACATAGGTTCTAGTCAGCCATCAAACATAGAAGTGAACCAGCTTCTAAAATACCATGAAAACATACAGTGGATATTGAAGTAGGAGGATGTGGAGTTTGGTGAAATTGTTAACGTACAATACAGTGAAGAGCTCCTGTAGTCACATTTCAAGAGCATGAGTACAGACACCAGTAATTAGCATAACAAAGCAGCAGTAATGTATTGCTACTCAGATATTCGGGTAACTTCAGGAAAAATATATTTGCTACCAATCCCAGTGTCCGGCAGTCAATGTTACAGTATGTGCCCTTAGCAAAATGGGTACAAATTTCAGTTCAGTTCATTGTATATTAGAGTTTATCAAAATACACACACACACACACACACACCCCCCAGTGTGTCAGGGGCAGGGAATGAAATTGATAGATCTATCTGTTCTCGAAGGCTGGGTAAAAAAATTGTTTCATTTTAATCATCATTCACCACAATTTGCAAACTTCTTACATGGGAGAAAACAAAACAAATGATTTGCCATCCTGACCTGACTCCAATATACTGTTAATAAGTCTAGATAACTATGTCTGAAGAAGTCGCCTCATCCATGAACACATTAAAATATAGCAGTTAGTTGTTAAGGCAACACAATGTTTTCATCTTCTTTTGTTTATTTTGGTTTGGGTTTTGCCTGGCATGTCTTCCCATTTATTCTGAAGCAGCCAGTTTTCAGGTAAGCTCCTAAAGAAAACGACAGAAAATGAACTTCGCCCTGTGAGACTAGAATCTTGCTGTACACTTTGCTGGTGGGCTCTACACACAAAAGATGTTATTATGTACAGGAATTATAATCCTGTGCATTTTAACATTTCTCCCAGGTTTAGGAAGGATATACATCATGCGGTGTAGAAACAGTAATAATCACATACAGTTTTGTGTTTCTTCTGCTCTGTCCAAGTGAATCTTATGTACGTTCAGGAAAGGAATTGTAATAATCCTGTGCAGTTTGGCATATCTCCCGGGGTGGGGTGGGTGGAAATGGAACTTCTGAGAAATTCTATGAGATTTCCCACCAGATTGAGGGTCAGGTCCAGGACAGAAAAAATCTTGATAGGAGGAGAAAAGAATGGTTCTACCACCTCAGTTTCTCTCTGAGGATGGAAAGTTACAAGATTGATGGCCCTAGACTACCTTTTTTCGCGCGTGCCCCCAAAAAACCCCACGGAGACCACAGCTCTGACTAGTGGAGAACTGTTTCCAAAGATAAAAAGATCTGAAGTTCAAATTTGCTCAATGTAAGTAAGAAGGCTTTCATGTCTTATTTCATATTTTGGATACACTATATATTTATTTATTTAAAATATTTTTACCCAGCCATTCTCTTTAAAAAAAAAAAGACCCAACACAGCTCACACAGTTAAAAAAAGACAATACTGAAAGTGAAAAATAGTTAGTTATTCAAATGTTTAAAAATACTGTAATTAAATAAACATTATATTAAAATTAGATTCAGCCTTTCACGAAGTCCTGCATTCATAGTCACTTAAAACTATTATACCAGGTTTATTTTGTGGTAAGCTCTTGCAAAGACTACTCTGAGTTGCATTAATCATCTTAATTTGAAGAATATATCCAGCTGTTCTCATAATAGACTTTGAATTATTTTCAACAGAAGGGTCAGTATTATTTTTGTTCACTTTCTCTCACGCACGCACGCACGCACACGCGCGCGCGCGCACACACACCACCCACTGCAAGACCCATCACACACACACACACACACACACGGCAACTGTAGAATTTCCACATGTAGTTCCTTTGACTCTAAAATGCTAACAAATTCGTATTTTATAGCAACTCTTACACCCACTTACCTGGGAGTAAATCCCACTGAACTCAATTTGTTATACTCTTGTGTAGATACTAGGATTACACTGCCAGCTGTTTATTGCTTTTTCATTTCTTACCTAAAACAAACTACTGAATTTATGGCAGATATGAGATTTGAACCACAGAATTATGGATTTATAGAGGTTCACATCTTGATCACTTTGCTATACCATTTTTCTGGAGTACTACATCACCCATGACTAGGCATGGGATTCCCCAACCTGTCTCAACACTGAGAAACAATACTAATGAACGCCTATACTAGAGCTTTGCATTTCCTATGGTACATTTTATCAAGTATTTTAGTACATCCAAATTAAAATATCTCTTGGAGCCTGTTTTGCATTATTGCTCATATTTTGGAACAAAAATGTGTTTAATAGATCTATCACAATATCACTCAATCACAAAATCCAGTCCTTTTTATCACAAAAAATACAGATAAACAACGGGTTGTAAGCTGAACACTCAGAATTCAGTCGGAAGGACTGGGCAGTGTATGTGATTCACTTATCACTGAGTGTGAATGAAATCAGGTTTTGCACAAGCTAAAAGAGGTCTTGCTATGCCTTCCTTTTTAACTTTTACTCACAGGGCTATCAGAATTTCCCTCCAAATAGATGAAAGGAAGTATACTTTACCTCCTGAGGTGCTGGGCTGGAAAGAGTCTCATCCTAGTTCTTGAACAGTACTTGCAGACAAAATAACAACAAAGTAAAAATAATACCACATACCTGTCAGGCTAGATGTGCATGAAAAAACACCACATAAACTAAAAGAAAAAGAACTTATCCTACGCAAGCAGAAAAGACTCCCTGGGCTATAACCAAACACATTTTAAATCTGAAAATTGTTCCTTGCTCACATTAATCTCTTGTTGATCCCTCTGGTGTGGGGGGGTTCTGTCTTTCTCCTCAGCTTTTGAATAGCACACAAGTAACATCCGGTGAATGCCTTATGCATCAGGAGCCATACATGATGGCTTAAGCATCGCAACACAATTAAAGCATCACATAAGCCTCAAGGGACAGAAGACGGTGAAAAGTTTAGAATTCATCACACTCAGGGGAAGGTTGGTATTGGTAGCCAGCACTGAAGTTTGGTGAGTTGCAACTTTAGACTTTGTGGCCATAGGAAGCTCCTTTTATTAGATGTGAGCATGTATAAGTCCCCCTTTTTAAAACGGGATAAGCCAGCCACCCCAAGATATTGGGGCTCTCCTGCTCCTTCTTCTGAGTGGCACCCCCAGACACCTGTAACCACATCCTAACCTGTCAACACCACTAGCACCAAATACAACTTGCTATTGCAATATGTAGCAATCACTCAGATCCATTAGTAATGAAATATCCATTACCACCACACTTTTAGACAGCATCCAGTGCCTCTCTGTCCTCCCTGAGTAGAAAGAACTTCCTTTCAGAGGACAAGAGCAGCTGTCACATGACGTATCCTTATCCTGTGTCCCCACCAAACACACCTGTGAGGGAAGGCCTCTCCTGACTCCCTGGGTTTTGTATCGCCTTCTCTGAGCCAAGCCAAGCCAATATTATTAAATGGAGCCATCACACTGGTTTCCTGAGAATTCTGATAAATGCTATTAGCTGTGTGTGGTGCTATTGTCTGTATGCAAAAGTAGGCTTGAGCTAGTTCTGCAGACCCATTAGACAAGTAGGTCAAATCCAGCCCATGGCAGAATCGATCTCTTGGGGCTTCTTAGAGTTTTTTCCCTAGTCAGTGAGCTTCTCTTCAGTATGTCAAAGAATAGATCCTATACATAGTTTACTTCAGAAAGGTGGGCAGGCTGGCTCCAAAAACAAACATAAGCAGCAACAGCTTCTTTTTCTGTGGAACATATCCACCGTGGGAGACAATGGGGAAGAGGGAGTGGGGCTAAGGGATGGTAAGAGGAATTTCTACTCCTTGGCCATCTTTTATAAAGGACATCTAGTCAATGTACCTTGAGGGAGGGTTTATGACATGGACAGTTACGTCCTGCTTATTTGTTTGATTTATACTCTGTGTTTTCCTCAAAACTGGGCCTCAAGGTAATTTACAGGATTGACTAAGAAGGGTACAGATTGAAAACACAGAATATTAAATCAATAAACAGCATCCACCAACTAAAAGCGATTGTTCACTACTTAGTTATCTGCTCAAAGTCCACCTGAATATAGGCAAAAGGACAATAGTAAGATGGCCAGTCTAGGCTCTTTTGGAAGAGTACAGTATTCCACAATATTCTGCAGTCTTCCTAATGTCTCCACAGTTCTCCGGTTTAGAAACTGGATTTCAAGTGCTATAACCTCCTGGCCCTTGTATCTCTCGATCTGGAATTTCACATTTTGCTACTCAGCATAAATCACTCTCCACATCAAAAAGCTCAGTTGCCAGCTTGTGCCAGCTGTGCATGTTCTAGGAATGACAGCATGTGGGGAAGGCTCTACCTTGCGTCCTCTCCTCATTATAAACATTTGTCAGCAGCTTACTAATGAGGAGGCTATGAGTCTGGTGTGGAAGACTGGGGCACAGAACAAGAAGGGCTCATTCTCCTCTTTTAGTGAGTCCGTCATGTGCCACCAAGTCAGAACTGATTTACAGCAACCTTAATAGGACTTTCAAGGTAAGTGAGATGTTTAAGGAGTAGTTTTACCACTTCCACCTCTCCAACGTGTTTCCATGGCCAAGTGGGGATTTGAATCCTGATCTCCAGAGTCCATCACTGAATCCATTACACCACACTGAGTACCTAATTCTTCTCCTTACCAACTGGGATTCTCCCTATGAATTCTGGAACAAGTGCATCTAAGTGACTGTGAGTGTAAGAAAGAGAAAGAGAGAGATGGTGTGGATGTGAGAAATGGAGTCTCTGTGTGTGTTTGGGGAGTGAGGGGGGGCAATGGCATCACCACACCCACCAGTACATGTCCTTGCAACTCATGACGCATCGCCACATGTAGCTCTTGAGGGCAGCCCTGACCATGGTAAAACATTTAAACCTTCTTTTGAGGAAATATGTTTTATCACAATACATTTACCAAGTATTGTATCTGGGAATGGAATAATAATAACGCATCAAACTCTAATCATATGGAAATAATGGCACAAATTGGCAAATAAATAAATACCCATTCCAATTGTTAAAACATTTCTTTATTTATATTTTATTTTTTTAATCAATGTATCCAACAAGTTATAAGGACAATGTATCCTATGTCAATATTCCATTCATTCCAATTCCCAAAATGAAAATACAATTTTCTATTTTTTTTCTTTTAAAAAAAAAAATTCAACTCACATCATAACGAAATGTTCAAAAGGGTGCCCAATCAGTAAAAACATTTTTTTTCAAACCATGTAGCAATAAGACAGTTTCGACAGCCTAGCTCACTGCATATATGCAATCAAATAACAACATGAATCATATGATCATGGTTGTGCAACCATGGCACTTATTTACTTAGCCCTAAAACTCATCAAACATAAAACCACACAATCAATACAGCGACAAAGGTTTTTGAATATAATGCTCATCACACACAAAAAAGCAGCTTTTGCTCCAGTCACCACCTCATCTCTGAGGATGGCAGCTAAACAGCGAATGGGCTCAGATAGTGATGGTTTTAACAAACTAAGCAGGCAGGTGATCCTTTACCCTGAGTTGTTTTCTAAGGGCAAAAACACACCTTATAGACAGACATCCAGTGAGCTGTAGCCTGTTTTGTGTTGCAGAGATGTGATTCAGGCATTCATATTTGAGAGATCAGACTTGGAAAGAATTAATGTAGATGTTTTTATTTTGAAGACCAATCATGAAACAAAGCAAGACGATTTGCAGATTAGGGAAGGTAATGAAAGCTCTTGCTCTACACTTAGACATTTTCACCACTTAAGGAATTTCCACTTCCACTGATAGATGATGTGTAATGTTTGTCTCCATTGTCAGTTCAGAGTCTGATGCCAGAACATATATCTAAGAGCCGTATACCACTTTATATACCTCTAGAGCAGGTGTCTCCAAACTTTTCAGTATGAGGGCCACGTCATATATTTTACACATTTTGAGGGCTGAAGGGGGAGGAAAGGGGGGAGGGAGGAATTTTTTTTAAATGAATGAATAAGTTTTATTTGGATCGACAAACCTGTACTATATATTTTACACATTTTGAGGGGTGAAGGGGGAGGAAAGGGGGAAGGGAGGAAATGTTTTAAAAAATGAATGAATAAGTTTTATTCGGATCGACAAACCTGTACTTTTATACTACAATAGGAATGGAAATGCTGGAAATGCTTGTTTAATTTCAAAATATTGTCAAACTGAGGTTTCAAGCTTGAAGAGCCATTTATTAGAATGGACAGATAAACTTGCTTGATAGTTGGATTTATCTATGTTGCTTCTATGTTCCAAATGCACAAAATTTTGAAAAGATCCACAATTCCTACAGCTATAGGAAACTGTTGGCACAAATGCTTAAAAATAAATGAAAACTAAACTTAAGTAGTCAGATTTCAATCCAAAATGCAGGAGCACAACTACTACTACTACTACTACTACTACTACTACTACTACTACTACTACTACTACTACTACTACTAATAATAATAAT